TGAAGCGGGGACCCGCATTTAGTGAGAAGTGCGCCACAAGCGCGCTCTTTCATGCCTGGGGCAAGGAGCCCAGCAATTGTGGCCGCAGGCCTTCAGATCCGCCACCGTGCCCCTGGGCACGGAGTGGGCGTGCCCTCAGGTAATTTCCCTAATCCTCTACGCCTCAATCCTCCTCGTGGGGAGTCTTCAAGGGGCCTGGAGCCCAAATTGCCAAATCTCCCGGGGCTTGCCGCGGCTTATTGGGGGCTTCCCGCATGACTTTCGGGCCCAAGAGGGCCCCAAGACGGGCGAAGAGTGCCCCAAGAGACACCCAAGATGGTCTAAGAGGGCCTCGAGACGCCTAAAGCTCGCTCCAAGACGCCCAAGATGGCCCCAAGACGCTCCAAGAGGCCTCCAAGACGCCCCAAGAGGCCTCCGAACAGCCTCCCGAGAAGGCCCCAAAGGCCCATATCTAGTACTTCCCTTATGTCTGGAAGGCTGTTGGTTTTATCCCCTTTTCGGCTTTCCAACGCGCCAAGACAGCCCAAGAGGCCCCCAAGACGGCCCAAGCGGCCGCTAAGACGGCCACAAGACGGCCTAAAGACAGCCCAAGGAGGCCCCAAGACGGCCCAAGAGGGCCCAGACGGGGGACCCGAACGGACATTTCGAGCCCTCGGCCCCAAGAGGCCCTCAGGAGGCCCCAAGAAGCCCCCAAGAGGCCCCAGAGAAGCCCCAAGAGGCCCCCAGGAGGCCCCAAGAGGCCCCCAAGAGGCCCCAAAACTGTTCCCAAGAGGCCCAAAAAGTGTCGCCAAGATGACCCCACGAAGCATCCCTGAGGACTCTGACCCACAATCCAGGCACAGTGGCGGGATGGGCCGAAGGCCATTAGATATTCGATTGGAAAGCCTGAGTAATAGCATCTCCCACGCTGTGCCCAAAGCTGGTCTAGCAAAGTCTCGAGGGTCAACTCGAAAGACTGAGTCCAAAATTCTGCCGTACGCGATGCGGTGCCGGCCATGATAGACACAACACTTCCGCGCAGAGATGCTCCACGAAGGCTCGAAGATACATAATGACATGCATTGCATAGATAGGAGAGTTTCAGAATCCGAGAGGCACCCCGTCTGCAGGCGCAACACGAGCCTGGTGGTTTATGCGATAGGCAAGCCGAACACTTCCGCTCGCCGGCGGCAATCGGCATCCCTGGGCTGCAGCGCGAAGCACCTGGATCGGGCTCACGGCGACCGCTCCAGTGGGCATCCTGAGCATGTCTGCGTAGTTCTGTCAAGTCAGGTGGCGCCCGTCGAAAAAGTGGCACTTGCTGGAATTTACACCCTGACCACAGAGCGGTGCCATAGATAGGCGACGCCGCATGCCTTCCAACGCTGTGGCCAGACGTGTTCAATTCAGCAGCAATTCAAACACACTTGTCGCGAATCTATACACTGTCAGTGCTGACACGCTCCAGAGACACTCTTAAGTGAGAGTTCGGCTGCAAGTGATTGAGAGGCACTCCAGGGTAGAAGCAACGCCCTTGCTGCTCCAACAACATCGCGAACAGATCGTCGGCAAATAGCGCCTGGCTGGAGCCACGCTGTGATGCCCGGTATCTGGATGACGAAAGGAGGCCTTGAATACAGCCGCTAAAAGTGGATCGCTGCAAAAATCCCCTGACCGACTTTCACTCCTTGCAGTAATCCTGCAAGCCAATGAGAGACACTAAGCGAATGTTGAATGCAACCCGCGTACTTTATAGCAGCCAAACTTGGAACACAGCCAACCACCTGCATCGTTCGGATGGCGAGAAACTCGAAATGTGTGCTCGCGGCATCCTAGAAAGCTTTCTCATTGTCCTTGAAAGCGATATCCTGAGTGTCGAGTATCGCCGCAAATCGCTTGCGCGGTTGCAAGACCATATGCCATTGACCAGACAATTGAGTAGCAGTGATGCGCGAGGCAAGTAATCAATGATGCGTAGTGGGTAGCAATTGAATAGCAGTGATGCGCGATGCGCTACAACGCGAGACATTGAGCAATGGCACAACTTGCGGCGAAAACGTAATATCACATGTTCGAGCGTTGCGATCCGTGGCGAAAAATCAGAGCGGTCTGCTGCAAAGAGTCGCCGTTGTGCGCTTCTAGAGGCCTCCAAGACGACATCCGAGTAGACGGGTTCGGAGGATCGCGCCGCATCGCCGAAGCATCGGCGATGCAATGCATCGGCGATGCGTCGGCGACGTCGGCGATGCATCAGCGACGTCGGCATGGAGAAAATCGGGCCCCACATCGAACAGAATCGGCGATTCATCAGAGATGCGGCTTAATCCTCAGACCTATTAAACTCGGACCCCATCTGAGAAGCCTGGAGACTCTCCGAGGTTTTTGGCCCATAACTCGGGCATCCGGCGGTTGTTCGGGACGATCTGGGCACCCCTGGAACGCTCTCGGCGCGGCGCAGCTGCTGAAGAGCACACCGGAGCTGTGAACCCGCTGGAGAACTGCGAAGACGCCCGAAAAGTTC